TGTATGTGTCTCTCTCTCAAAATAGCTGACTGCGCCCTACTCACCCTCCTTCTCGTGATGATGTGAGGTGACGCGGTGCCTACATGATGGGGTGCTCGGAACCGCACACACTTTAAAACTAACAGACTGTTTATTTCTGGAATTTTTCATTGGCTATCTCTGGGCCACGGTTCACCATGGGTAACTGAAACCCTGGAAAGCAAACTCACAGATAGGGGAGACCACTGTATGGTGAAGGTCACCAATTTTAAAAGTTGAGCTATTTTGTCCCTGCACTGGGGGCCGGAATAAATAAAACGGCAGACCAACGGGTCTCTCTGGGTGCGAGCTCTGTCATTCCCTCAAGAAATGAAGGTGACTCATGTTTTGAGGCCTGGCTTTGAAAAAGGCACATGTGGACAAACAACTTACTTAAAACGCCTGGCGAGCCCAGGACTTCTCTTTGAGTGAAAGGCTTATGCACGGGACAGTTTCGTGGCCCTGACCTCACACCGGCTGGCCCCCCCGCCCTCCCCAGCTCCCCGCATCCTCTGCCCGGAGGCGGGCTGTGCTACTGCCTCTACCTCGGCTCTGAACGGCGGGGGCGGGGGAATGGGGCTTTATGAAGAAAGAGGCCATTTTCAGCTTTGAAGTTTTCTTTCAAAATTCTTGTGTATAGAAATGTCCTTGAGAAATACTGACTCATATAAACTTGCAGAACTATTAGAGGTTCCCACCCCCCAAAATTCTAGTGCTCTCTAACCATTAGCTATCGCAGGCTTCAATTACTCTTTTTCAGCATCTGTATTTCAACCACAAAGAGCAGCCCCAAGAAGCAGAGGCAGAATGGCTGCCAGCAACAAAAACCAAAACCCAAAACCCCAGTGATTCAGGAGTAGGCAGGAAGGCTACCTCCTGTGCCCCTGGCGCAGGGCCACGGTGCCTGGCATCCCCGGGGATGGGAAACGGATTTCAGGAAGGCCATAGGCGTCAGTCTGAGGTGAAAGAGAGACTTCTTTTGTTCTCAGGTGGGTATTTGAAGCCCAGGGTTTAAGGCCCCACTATCCCCACCCTCCCTGGACGCAGGCCTGCTGGGGCGCCTTCAGCCCGGGTGGCTGTTGAATGTTTCCGGGGGAAAGAAAGCAGCCGCGGGCTGCGCCGAGGTAGTCAGCTGCCTGCTGAGCCTGGCCCGCCCAGCTGGCTCTGCCCAGCGGTGTGAGGTGGGCCTCTGGACAGGTGTTTATGCAGAGGGAGGAGCCCCTGAGCAGTGAGACTCTGACGGCTGGGCATGGGGGAGTAGGGACGCCAGTCCTGCGCATCCCAGATCGTTGCTCCTGACCTGCCAGGGCAGTTGGCCTAACACTCAGCAGGCCGTTCTCGAGGACCTACTGTGTGCTCAACACTGTGGACACAGCAGTGGGTCAGGCGTGGTCCTTGCTTACCAGCAGCATCGGGGGCGGAGGCAGGGAGATCATTCCTGGTCCTGGATGCCCAGCAGAGACCCTGGTCTTCTCTCCAGCTGAGGAAAGTCTCTTTCCTTCCTGCTGCGCCACCCCCGCCCACCACCAGCCCCCAGGACAGCGCTGGCACCTAATGGCTCAACACAGAGCTACTGCCTGGGCAAATTAGCGAGCTAAGCACAGAACAGTCCGAAGGAGGAAATAACCCACTCCGCTGGCGGACTGTTTCCCCAAGAGGCTTGAGCCGGGCCCTGCGGGGTACGGGCTGTCTACCCAGACAGCGGGTACAACGTGGAGGAGGTGTCACGTGTAGGTGTCTGTGTGTGTCACCTCATTGCCTAGTAGGGAATGCAAGGAAGCCACCGTGCGCCGAGCGCAGGCTCTTGGGGGAGAGGACGGCGACTGTGCAGCCAGAAGAAGAGGGCCAGCAGCTCAGAGACATGTGTCACCAGACGCCAGGGCTTCTTCACCAGACCTGCACTCGGGCAGCGGGCTCTGAAGCCCTGAGGAGAGCAGACCAGGAGGGATGGGGAGGCCCCGAGACCCGCTGCTCCCCACACACCCCAGCAGGACCCCTCGCTCACCCCTCGCCGCGAGACAGCTCTGTTTGCTCATTTTGGGCCCTCCACCCCCTCTGGCAGGGCATTTTGCTTTATAGTAAACACTCTATAAATGTCAACTGACTATTTTTCTTTTTAGTTCTGTGGTGCTTTAGTCACTCAGTGATGGCACAGCTGGGCCCTGAATCCAGGTCTTCTGCTTCTTCTATTTTTTTTTACCTAAAGAACTCTCCAATATTTAGTCACAGAGTTCTGGGGTTTAGTTCAATTCTTAAGCACCGGTTTGCCATGTCGATTGAGTTCCAGCCTGCAGCTCACTTTATATCAAAGGTTTAATCTTTCAAAAATCTGCTTTGGAACTACAAGGTCACTAGCGTTGGTCTTAAGGAGCGCTAGCAAATCCTCACCCCTTCAAGTGGTGGCCACGCGGAACTAGGCTTTTGAAGTAGTCGTTCTAGTGTGGATATGTTTGTCATCCCTGCTTTCTAGGATACCCCCTTGACAAATCAGTTTTGAAACTTTTCTGATTGGTTACGGTTATGTTTAAACCTGTAATCTGCCTTTCTGGTTTTTCCACCCATGTTTGCAAGAGCTAAACAGACACAGTAGATTTCACAGCTGACATAAGGCCATTGAGACACCAAGTGATGATTCATTCAGACCTCAGTGGCCCCCCATCGGCACCGGTAGAGATCTGGCCTTATCTGTGATGTGTTCAAAGCCAGCTATTTCCCCTGCAGCTCTCAGAGAAGGGCCGAGGTCCCCCTCCTCCCAGCCAGCTGCATACCCCGGGAGCTCAGTGCCTCTCCAGATGCCGGCTGAGTTTAGCACCATTCCATAGCGCAGCCAGCAGGGGTGCCAGCCAGAGGCCGTCCTGCTTGGCAAGGCCACCCGAAGTCCTTGGGTGGGATGGCTCCACAGCTGTTTCATCATCCCAAGTGGAAGGGTTGTCTTCACAGAGGTAAGATAGAGGGGGCCCGCTCCGCAGATACTTCACGCCCCACCAAATCACCAAGTTCTCCCCGGGAAGATGCCTGGGTGGCTGGGAGTAATTGGCGCAGCAGCTTCATGTGAAGCCGTGTTCTCTGAGTTTAGCTCTTGAGCACACCCGTGAGTGTACTTGGGTCCAGAACAAAGAGGAAAGAGAGAGCAAGGCTGTATGACATGTGGGCGGGGCGTACCCACCGGCCCCGGAGCAGGGTTCTCAGGCTACCACGGGCACGAATCCCAGAGGCTGTTGGTAAATGCGGGTCGCGCGGCAACATTTTCGGGGCGGGGCCCAGAACGTGCCTCGGGCCAGCGCTGGGATGAGCGCAGCTGCCGGGACCAGGCTGGAGTGACAGGCCCTGGGGCAGTGGCCTTCAAAGTTGCTGCCGAGTCCCGCACCTGGGGAGCCTTTCAACCCCGATGCCGGGCTGTTTCCCACCAGTGGAATCAGAACCTCTGCGGGACGGACCTGGGATCGGTAGTTTTGAAAGCTCCCCACAGAACTCCTGCCCAGGCTGAGTTCTGGCAGCGAGGGGCCTGAGTGGATGATGGGACTCATTCCTACCACTCTGGAAATGTACCATTGCCGCTGTAGCTGTCCGTTGGTGTGTCCCTTAAGTGTGCATGGATTAAAATGAACAGCTACCTCCTTTACTGTCACCAGCTCTGCTTTGAGGGAACACCACTAAGGTTCCCGGATTTCCTGAGCCGCCAGGGTGCGCCCTGCCTGTCTTACCCGCACAGGGCCCCGGCTGAAGCCCACGCCGCTACCCTCGCTGTGCGCCCGCCTCCTGTGCCTGCCCTGACCGCACAGCTAGGGAGTCACCTGCCCCAGCTCCTCCCGCGACTTCCTCGGGCTGGGGGCGTCTCGCTGAGGATGAGACTGCACGGTTTTTACCTTCCCGTGGAGCTGGGGTTCTCGCCCTGCCACACGCTGAAGTCAGCCCGGGCGACCCGGCTCTCACGCGCCTGGCGCGGGTCCGCGCACTAGGGGCGGTGTAAAAGCGCCCTAGGTGATTCTAGGTGAACTCGGGGATGGGAACCGAGCAGCCCGCTAACAGGAAGCTTAAACATCAGACATGTTTTTATTTTCTTCAGCATTTACAAAACTGATTCTCAAAAGGTCAGGCAATAAACAGAAGCTGTCCTGCTTGTTTTTTAAATGTACACTTTATGATTTCAAATATACATATTTAAATCTATATTCCCCCCCTCCCCGATCCAATACCTTGTATTTTTGAGGAGGCCAGTGGACAAAACAGAGAGATTCTTGAGCTGGATTTGGAGTGCACCGCGGGAGGAGAGTGTTCCTGACGTCCGTATCACCCACAATATTACCACATTTTGTCATGTATAATGCGCACCTTTTTTTGCCTGACTTTTCTGAGGGAAAAATAAGGGGGCGCATTATACGTGGGTATAACAAATACATAACATGGGGCGTAATAATCCCATGTATAATACGCACAGACTGTGGGTAAAATACGGTAAATGGGCACTGCTAGCTGCTGCAGCAAATGAAACCCAAGCATTCAGATGTTTCACACTAGGAATATGGTTCCCACGTAACAGCCTGGCCAGTGAAGGGGACTCAGGGGCAGTTTTCCTGTGTGGGGGCCGTCATTCACAGCCCCCAGTTTGCAGCTCCAAGGTGGCTCAGGGCAGGGAGGGGAGAGTGGGCGGGGCTGGGGGGACTCCCACCCACAGGGCGGGGCAACGTTGCTTGCACCTGATTGGCCAGAGCTCAGTCTCCTGGCCCCTCTCACCAGTGTGGACTAGTCAGCGAGGACTCAAGCCCTGGCAAGGAGCGCCAAGGTTGTGCAAGAGCCAGAGCTCGGGGCCCCAGCGTATTTGTGTGACTCAGGTCAGGAGTTCCCCAGAAAGTCCCGGGCACCTCGAGGCCGGGCATGGGCCTTGCCCGGAGGAAGCGGACCCCAGGCCCCTAGGTGCACGGAACCACAGCGGTTAAGTGCTCCGTTAAGGGCGTGTGCTCTTTTTCTTCTTTTCTCCGCAGATATCGCCAACGGCAGCAGTTCAGGGGGGTACCGCCCACCTCCCAGAACCAAAGAAGTCATCATCAATGGCCAGACTGTGAAACTTAAATACTGTTTCACCTGCAAGATTTTCCGGCCCCCTCGTGCTTCTCATTGTAGCCTTTGCGATAACTGCGTAGGTGAGTAGAAGCAGAAACTGCCCCGGTTCCCGCCTCTCGTGCTTGGGCTAAAAGGCCTGCAGCTGCTGGAGGGGCTGGGTTCCTTCTAACAGACCAGTGTGTGCGAAGGAGAGTCAGCACGTGTGTCTCTTTAATCCTTTGAAACTGAACAACTCAAAAATAGTATTTCCACATCTTTGCCTCCAGCCACAGATCCCCGTTCACCAAGCCTAGAGCCACCAAACTGTTTTTCTCTTGTACATCGTGCCATGCCCCGTGCCTTCTCCCTGAGCATATGCACCAGCATGGGGGTGGAGTGTTCCCTGGAGCCACTAGATCAGCGGACTCTGGAATTTAACGCCCCCTGCCCCCAGGTCCCTCCATTGCCCAGTGAGCTGGCTGCGAGTACCCCCAGGTGCGCTTGGTGTGGGTCTCCCAAGTGCTCCCGAGGCTGCTGTGGGGAGCTGGAGGCATTTGAAGTGAAGGAGAGAAAAGGGGTAGAGGCCAGGAGACTTCCGGGCCTGCAGTTAGGACTGCCACTCTTCCCAGAGACCAACCACCAAGGCTTCCCCCGCTATCTGCCTACTGGCCTTCCCCAGGACGGACTAGGGAGACAGCAGAGGAAACCAAGTGGAGCCCAGAGGTCCTCGGCGGTGAGACTTGGCCCTACCGTCAGGCCACCATGAACCCGGCTCAGGATTTCTGCAACTGACGAGGTCCCCAGCCCCTTGGAATTAGTTGGCAAGACCTTCCTGTCACTTCAGACTGAGAGCTGCCACCACGCCCACAGACCATGTTCTTTGCTGGGCTGGAGCTTCTTAGAGATGAGGTTGGCAAGGAGAGGGCAGAAGACCCAAGGCGCAGGGGGTAGTGAGAACCGGCAAAGGCTTGCACCCTGGGGAAAGCCCTCATTTCTTCAGTTCCCCGGGCTGCCTCTAAGAGAAGTAGCCAGGGATGTTCCTGGGCGAGTAGGCCTCGAAATGCTGTTACCTTGCACCGGGAAGGATCGAACGCCTCATGCCAAACCCAGTTCCCTCAGTAATACATCATTGATCGCCAAACACTCTCGTTGAGTCTATTAGAATTTGTAGTCTCAATACTCCTTGGGGAAAATATAATGTTATAATGTACTTCCTGCTGTGCAAAGCAGTTTTCCTTTTTTTGTCTAAAATTTACTTTATTATAACTTTAATCATCTACCATTTGTGAGAAAGTCCACGATTTCCCTATCGAGCCTTGTCTGGGTTTTATTAAGCTGCATGAATTACCTTTAGCTTCTCCCCTCTCAGTGGAACAGCAGGGGATTCCATCCCACCCTTCCCGGGTAGGAAGCAGCCTGTAGCTAAGAGCCCTGAACATGGCCCCACACGGCCTGGGCGCAGACACTGCTCTGTGACTTAGAGAAGTGACTCCAGCCTTCTGTCCTTGGTTTTCTCGTCACTGCCAGGCGGCCAACAGCGGGGCCTTCCCCTGGGCTGGTGGGGAGAGTAAACGGTTCAGCACACGGAAAGCCTTCGAGTCGCGCCCGGTGTACAGCGAACGCGCTGTGGTCCTGAGCGCGGTCACTGTTGTCACCGCCTCTCCCCTGACGTTCTTGATTGGCCTTCTCTGAACAATGTCTTGATCTCCTCTAGCCTTTGCAGGCCGGATGACCAACACTGTACCCGGTCGTCTATGGGAAGGCACACGGGGGTTACAAGGACACGTGACAGCCTTTATGTGGTTTGTGATACCGATCCTGGTGACTCTGGCCCCACGCCCACCTGAAGGACACTCTTAAGCCAAAACATCACAGTGGCTTAAATAGCTTCAGGGGAACAATCCGTAGGGATTTTCAGGACCCAGTCTTAGGTTGTCATTCTATAATTGCATATATTATATGATGGAATAGTAGGTAAGTTACACTTTTTCGCATAAAATCTTATGTTATTTTACTTGCCTTCCCCTGGAGTCTAAGGACTTAGTCCATTTAATATTTATAGGTAGGGAGTGGTTGACTGCGAACCTGAAGAGGTTACTGCGCACCTCCTTCTCTTTATCCTTCTAAAATGTGTGCCCATTGCTAGATGCCTGGCTGCTTCTATTCATCCATTTGTGTCAATTGATCTCAATCCTCTGCTGTTTCTCCACTGGATTCTTAATCGTCACAAAACTTTCCTCCGCATCTCAGCGTTTTAAATCTCCCTTTGGACGATTGTCGAACACTTTCTAAAAGGTCATATAATCCTCTCATTTGTTCCCTCCTTTCGCCCATAGGTTTATGTGTTCCTTAAAGAATTTGGTAAAATCCCCTTACCAAAATTAGATTATCAGCTGCAGTTATTGCTGCACATCCCCTATGGTGCCACTGTTTAAGATAGTGTCCTCTCTTGTAGAAGCCACCAGCTGAGAAAATGAGAGTCCCTAACTGATATCCAGGAGCCCTCGGCAGCCTTTCGGATAAATCCAAGTCTCAGTGGCTGTCCTGCGCGCCCCAGCCATGCATGCCAGTGCCCTGTAACTGGGAGGCACGGCACAGGGGTGGGAGAGGAGAGAAAGGGGGAGGTTTGGGGGTGGGTTCAAGAGGAGGAACACTGGACCGAAGGTCCCCTGCCAAAAGGGGCCTCTGAGCATCATTCCATGGCCCTAGGGCAGCAGTGAGGTGACCCCTAGCTCAAGGGCCCTCTGCGAAGAACAGGTGAAGTAGTCGCATGCAGTTGATTTTAAAATAAAGCTCCTCGCAGCACCCCTGAAAAAAACCACACAGTGATTTAAAGCTATACAGCTTTGTTTTTCTGGCTCATTAAGCTACGTCTGGGCCTTCGGTGGGGCCTATTAGCAGACCAGCAAATGGGGCCGTCTACATTTGGGAAATAGAGGGAAAGCGGACGTCTCCCGCTGAGAAGCATAACTGCAGAGTTTGCCATGAGTTATTTTTAGATGGAAAGTTTTTATGGAAAGAATTCAACTCTTTGCATCCAGGGAAGAACATACAATGATATGCTGAAAGCCCAGGTGGGCGCTGGTGGCTTCCCTTCCTCTCGGTAACAAAGGAATTTGGGTGGGTCCTTCAAGGCACACAGCGCCCAGAAATGCTGCTTTGCACTGGGAGAGGAGAGAGGCAAAGCACAGGTTCCCAGGCAGTTCAGGAAGGCAGTTTTCTTCGTTAAGTAAGTTTGAAGTGTGAGCAATCCGGAAGGATCTGCAGTTGAGGCGAGGGCTGAGGAAAGGCTTTCTTGGGGAGCAAACTCTGGTGCAAATACAGAACCTGTTAGCAGACCCTCGTGGCGGGGGACGCGGTTCTGAAGGCGAGCAGACCCAGGCCTGGACCCTGGTCCCGTCAGTGAAGAAACTGGAACCTGGGCAGGCTGCCACGGCCAGCTGTTCCCACATCTGTAAAGTGGGGTTACCCTATGCCGCCTCCTGCTCACCTTTTAGGGATTAGGGGAGACAGGCCCGGTGCCCACGGAGGGCTCCGGCAGTGCTTGCCGTTAATGCCGTTGTCACGAGTAACGGGACAAACGCTGGGACAAATGCCGCCGTAGTGCTCCCCAGCACCGCACAGGACGAGGGTGGTTTTCACAGGGATGGGAGCCGCCTCGTGTTCCTGGGACCTGGTGGGACTCAGAGGACCCGGCGCACCGCAGCGAGCCTCCGCTCCCTGCCTGCCTTTGTCATCTCTGTTCCCGTCTCCCCAGTTCTCTCTCTGCTGGTCATCGTGTCACTTCTGCATATTTGAAACAGAGCGTCTGGGTTGTTTGTCCATGCAGGCGGCCCCCTCCCGCCTGGGCCGTGCAGCTGCTCTGCTGTCCCTGTTCCCAGGGCCCCCTGGGTCGTTGAAGCAGAGTCCCCGAGGAGCTGCGAAGCGGCGAGCCACCGGGAGGACCTCTCCCCCTGGCTGTGCACTTGCGCGAGGCCCACCTGAGTCCCTCCCAGTTCCCTGACCAGGGTGACACTTTCAGGGAAGTCTGTCTCTCGATGGGCCCTGGGCCAGTGTCTACCCGCTGAGCTTTGACCAGGCAGCAGGCAGCTTGGCCTGGAGGCTAAGAAGTGGCCCCTGGACTCAGCAGCCAGCTGGGTCCCAGACTCCGCTCTGTCTGGGGAGGGGACGCTTTCTGTTCAGCTGCGCTGCAGCGGGAGGGGCTGTGAGGTAGAGGATGTGGTGCAGGAAGCCTCTGGGGGGCGCTGGCGTTGCCAGGCCCTTCCAAGGGGCGGAGGAGGGGCTGGTCCCATTCTCTTCTGCTGCCTTCTGTCATTTCTGGTGTGGGTGGCACAGAGAACCCCCAGATACCCTCTGCAGGGACAGAGTGTCCATTGCTCTTTGGAAGAGCTTCCCCATTGTCTTTAAAAATCCTTATAACCCTCTTTCTTTGTAGCCGTGTGCTTTGTCTCCTGGGTGTTGGCTCCGCGCCCTCCCTCTGCCCCACGGTGCCCCGCACCGGCCCCTATCCTGCTGCTTCCTGTGGGATGTGGGTTCCCGAGCGGGGACTGCAGACACCCCGTCTGTGCGAACGCCGTGCTCAGCACCCTGCTGCCCAGGGGGCCCCCACCTTCTCGCAGTTGTGCTCGTATCAAGAGGTTTGTGTCTGGGATTTACAGCTGCAGCCGCCCCCTAAATTCTAACGTGCAGGGCCATCCTCTGGAATTTCCTTTTAGCCGTTTGGGAATGGTGAGAGTGCTATTCGTTTCCTGCAGGAAAGCCTGTCATTGGAAGCGAATGGAAGGACCTGGGATTCCTATCCTACCAGGAGCCAGAACACACAGGGCTTTGCTGGGCCCCCCAGGCTGCAGGATCCAGGCTTTCCACTCACATGTAACCAGCGCCTGTGTGTTGGGCTCTGTGCTAACAACTGGATGCGTCAAAATAAAGGACAGTCCCCATGGATCATTAGTATGAGAATTCAAGGTAGAAAGCATATATTTATCATATTACATGGGTCAAAGAAAGTAATCGTAGTAAAGACTACAACTAAAAATTTAGCAACATATATGCATCAATAATATTGCATCAAAATATATAAAGTTTGTTAGAAAATGCAAGT